TACGCAGTCGCCAGTTCTCAGCTTCCAGCTCCACAGATTCCTCCGCGCACTAAAGTTGTACTACAAAGTCACCAGTTCTGAGCTTCCAGCTCCCCAGCTACTCCGCGTACTACAGTTGTACTACAAAGTCACCAGTGCTCATCTCCCAGCTCCCCAGATACTCCACACCTCTCGCCTGCATTTCGCGCACTCGACGCGCACGATCTCCGCAGAGGGTTGCGCAGGCATCCGCCAAATCGCACTCTCGCCTGTATTTTGCGCACTCGACACGCACGATCTCCGCAGAGGGTTGCGCGGACACCCGGCGAATCGCACTCTCGCCTGCATTTCGCGCACTCGACACGCACGATCTCCGCAGAGGGTTGCGCGCACACCCGGCAAATCGCACTCTCGCCTGCATTTCGCGCACTCGACACGCCCGATCTCCGCAGAGGGTCGCGCGCGCACCCGGCAAATCGCACTCTCGCCTGCATTTCGCGCACTCGACACGCACGATCTCCGCAGAGGGTTGCGCGCGCAGCCGGCAAATCGCACTCTCGCCTGCATTTCGCGCACTCGACACGCACGATCTCCGCAGAGGGTTGCGCGCGCAGCCGGCGAATCGCACTCTCGCCTGCATTTCGCGCACTCGACACGCCCGATCTCCGCAGAGGGTTGCACTTTCGGTTGACGCTGTTCGTCCCGCACTCCGCCTTTAAGAGAGAATTTATAAAGTGGGGAAATGTTTTGGGGAAATGTTTTTTCATTAGGACATCTCCCGTGCTAGTTTTCCATACTCACACTTGCCTACTCATTGCATGCTTGTATACTCATTGCGTGCTTGCATACTCACCCTTGCATATCATGCTTGCATACTTACACTTGCATACTTTGACACTGGCATACTTCGCACTTGGATGCTTTCGCTCTTCCAGTGTGTGTGTGTGTGTAAGTGTAAGTGTCGAAGTGTAAGTGTTCAAAGGATTTTCCGGAAGAACCCTTCGCAATGCTTTCGGGAAAAAGCTACTACCTTCTTGGCATCGGTTTACTTTCCCGCCATGGCAAAGGGCTGCCCCTGAGTTCGGACGCATGTAAGTAGAGTCTATTATCATTGTACGTGCATTGTTTCTGCAGGTCAGATTCGATGACTCCCTTGTCGAAGCGCTTCCCATTGGAGCCCAAACGACCTTCATAGCGGACCTTCACCTGTGGCACGTGTGAGCGCTTCACCCACTACGGTCGCAGGTGGCCCAAAGCGGCTGGGGAAGCGCATGTTTGAGGATGTCTTTCCAACACACTTGCTACGCTCTCCAAGGTGTATACCGAGGAGACAGTAGAAACATCTACGAGTAACACATAACAAAGCAAAAACAACAAATACATGTATGATCATAATTAAATGTAAACATATGTAAACATACAATCCCTTATCTCTGAGACAACGATCTCTCTGTCAAACATATCGACCCTTGGTAAATACTGTTCATGTACACATATTCACTAGGTTATGCCACCTTTAAAACGTTTGAGGCTATCCACAATGACATGATGATGCTTTTACAACCGAAATCCATTTCTCAACCCTCCTTGATCCACGGTGCTTTGCATTCAATACCAATTACAACAGGCACCCTTGCTGGTGTAAGTACAGTGCTAAGTACATGGGGTTGTCTAGCTCCACATGAAACGTGCGACGGCCCGTGAACACCCTTCATGGCCTTTTTGCCGGCTTGGGCTTGCGGCCCTGTGCCTCTCTGCAGCACCTCATATCTCAATCCGGAGGGCAAAGTCCTCTGAGTTACGGCCTTCTCAGGCTTGCCATCTTTCTTCACCTGAAAAACCAAGCTTTGCGTGGGCCGAGCCGCGCCCAGTGGATTTTCAGATCTGGCCAACCCCGCCATTGAGAGCAGGTCAAGAGATGGATTTAATTCCACCACTATTAACATATGATGTGTATAGATATATATATATATATTGAAATACTTGTATGTGTTGGTTATAATTGGTGAGGTACGGTCAACATTTAGTGTGTGCGGCTGTTGATTGTCAATTTTGTGAGTACCCTATCGCTTCCCTATGTTTTACCTTGATACAGGGTATCCCTTTTCTGTGAGTCCTGTATTGTTTATATATGAATGATTGCTTTTCCGCAACCGCGGTCATCAAGACATGTAACAATCATCACAATATTACAACATGATATAGAGTCATGTTACAATGTTATTATATAATGATATTATATGTCACTTACATGAAATTAAAGGACATCATGGTGCAGTCGGCAGTTCAGTTCAGGTGGACCACACCGTCGATTTTTCTTGCTTCCAACCGGCAATCTGTTTCTTGATTCGGACCAATCGTGCACACAGCTTCCAGGCCTCCTTGACCTTCAATTCCATTGGTTTCTCCTTCATCACATCCTTTGGGGACTGCTTTGGAGCTTCTGCTGCCGGCTTCGCCGCTGGCTTCGCTGCCGGTTTCGCTCCCGGCTTCGCTGCGGGCGCCTTGTCCACTGGCTCGGGTGCCTCTGTGCGCAGCCTCTTGGCGGGCGGCGTACCAGAAGAGGCGCTGCTGGTGCCGATGAAGCCGGCAAAGGGGTCGTCCAGGATGACGCCACTGAGCAAAAGCGCCCCGTCGCAGGTGAAGGTGGCATCGGAGCCAAAGCTACTAAACCGCAGCTGGCAGAAGGGCTTTGCAGCAGTGACGTGGCCCAAGGCTAAGCGTTCATCGTTCACTGAGACATACAAATGGGAGGATGAGGCAGAGTCCAATAAGGAGCAGCTTCGGAGATCTAGACCTGGGTGCACTGCACTGGGTGCACAATATTCACGCAGTTCAAGACATCAAGTGACATCAATGCTCCAAATCAAAATCCCCACTTGCAACTCGATCTGAAGAAGAGGCTTGCAGAATTGTTTGTCCATGACTTGGACGGCAAAGTCACTGAACGAACCGGGCGGTCTTTGTGGTTTGGTCTTTTCAAATGTGCTGGCTCGGGGGTAATCACAACCTATGAAGACATGTAGGTGAGGGTTTGAGAAGGCTTCCTGGGCACATCTATCTTGTCTACTCAAGCCTACGCAAAGAGTCGTGTCCATGTATTGATGTCTACTGGGGTCTCACACAGAAAAAACAGTTTAAAAAATATGACGTTTATATAGTTGCACCATCTGCCTACCCTCTTGGCAAACTTGAGCCATGTGGCGTAGCCCAGGAATCGCTTTGAAGCACACTGGCTGCTTCGCAGAGAGGTGCTTTTGCCAAATCTCCTGCGGCATGGCGACAGCTCGCAGCTCGCCCCCTTGACGGACGCCTGGAGCCCTGCGCAGCTGCGAACGAAGGACCTGCGCAGCTGCGACCTAGGCAGCACCGATCAGCGCACCAAGCGCGCACGAACGCGACGCGCGCGGATCGACTCGCGCTGCGCGCCTGTGAGCCACGCTACATGGACATCACAGCACTATGCACTCACCTGGCACGGAGGGATACCACAGGGAGCGGAGAGGTGGCGGAGAGGTGACCCGCACGCTGCGTGCATTGTTTGTTGCATTGGTCCGGGTGATTTTCCCAAAGAACGCTACTTCTCGTCGCGAGAGGTCGCGAATCGGGTTGTTGTAGCTGTCGATGACCGGGTTTCGAGGCCACCTTGCCAACTTGGGCCTCTTTGTTGTGGAAGCCTCTGGGCGCTCGACAAAAGATCCGTAACACATGAGCACACGCAGCAAAGCCACAGCCTGTGGCTAGGCTTTTGTCAGCTTCGGAGACGTCCAACTAGATCGTATCATCATCATCTTCTTCTTCTGCTTATTTTTCTTCTTCTGTTTATGTTTATTTATTTCATTCTAGCTCTATTAGTTTCTATTTACTGCTTATTATTTTGACTGCTTCACTGCTTCCTAGTCTTCTTCTTGTTTTTCTTCTTCTTGTCCTCTTTCCCTGGTCCTCATGTGTTGTTCTCTTCTTCCAGCTGCTATCACCTGCAGTAGATAAACACATAATATACGAAGAATAGGGTTTGCCCGAACCATGAAGAAAGGCGGGAAAGGCTGAGTCCAATCGTGAGCGCCTCGCCTACATCACGCTGCACCAGGAGGCCGATGGCTCGAACGGCTCCACAAATGGCCGTGCTTCATCCACCTAGAGCGGCTCCATTGCTAAGCCACATGGAAATTTGAATGGCATGTTTTTTTCTTTAGGGAGAATTCGAAAACAGGTGAAATCGGTTTTAGACTAGAGTCATGTCAAAATATATATAATATATATATATACTGTATATGATTAGTCTATGTTTGCTTTTGACACTGGCCGATCTGGAGGTCTCCGTACGTCCTCCTCAGAGGTAGACCACACCGGACCGTACTTGGGGACATCTTCCAACAAACGAGAACATCTTCGCTTCAAAAAGCCTGGATTCAGTAGTGAATGACTTCTCTCTCACGTGAGAACAGCATCATTCAGTACTAATTCTCAACTGCCAACACCTCGGATCGTGTCGATGTCGGATCTTCGTTCAGATTTCGAATATGAAGAACAAAGAGCGCAAGCTTCGAGACCATAGGAACTGAGTGGAGTTACTGTTGATTCGGCCGGGACGCAAAGAAAACATTGGCTTGGCCAAGGAAGCATCTTTTGAAGCAAACTGATGGCTCTGAACTTTTAGGCACACTAATCTACAGCTCAAAGGACAACCTGGCTGGGACTTTACTCCAACCTCCAGGTCAGCAATTATGCAGGAAATGCAATCGCTCTTACGATTCGCTCTGAACAGTGACAATAGCAAATCAGAATATCAATGGGTCAACAATCTGAGATCGTGTTATGCCCAGTCCCCAAGATCTTCCAACCACCCTGGCAGTCAAATCACCGGAAGATTGCAAGAACCAAAAACACCTTCAACACGAAGTCTCACGCAAGAATGAACTGGGTGACGAACCTTAGGACAACCAGGACACCATACTTCAACCAAGAACCTGTCTTTCAACCAAGAACCGGGCACAATTGGGTCTTGCCAAGAACCAGGTTCGTTCAACCCTGTCCAGCCTGCACCTCCGTGGGTGTCTTGGAGGTAGCCTGAAGATTACCAGCTGTTGGTGGATATGATATGTATTCCATTTATGCGTGTATATATATATATATATATCGCATTATATTGCATGAGGAAACGGTGCCATGGGGTAATGCCTAGTTTGCTTATTCAATGAACCTGGGCTTACAAAAACATTGAATTTGGATAATATCAAAGCATTGTACACCGTCAACGCCCTACAGTAGCCCTAGCAAAACATTTACAGTATCCCATGAAGTCATTGAACACGGAGTTGGAATAGTTCCATTGAGATCTCCCCGTGCGAGGTCTTCGTATCATACCTGTGAATTGGACTAGGCACATCCTGTGAATTGCTACCATTTCCGAATCCAAACTTTTCCAGGTGAGTGTTCATACATACTAAAGAATGCTTCTTAGGATGGAGCATAAGGAAACAGAACGCACAATCATACATCTCCCATGTTAGGAAAAATAAGGACGTGCCAGGAGAGGTGGGGAGTAGCCACTCCAGTCGGAAAAAAACACATAAAACAAACACAATAAGACACATGTGTTGAATCAAACAAAAAGACACAATATGTAAATAGATAATATATCGATCATAATATATCGATCATAATAGATAATATGACACAATAAGACACAATATATCGATCATAATCGATCACATATGTAGTAGACATTAGACTGGCAAACACACGCATCGTTCGACCAGCCTCGATTGCGGCCTCTGCATGTAAACACTCCAGCAGCCGCGCAGCGGCCTGCGGTGGCAGCGGTGGATCCAAGGGGTTTGTGTTTTTTCGTCCTTCTGAAGCTAGCACTGGTGAAGGCTTCGGATGAGGGTCTTTCCGTTAAAGGGGTCGGACTAAACTCAGATCAAATCAAACGCCTGAAAGCGCAAACAGTAGTGGAACCATGCACAAACATCCTACACTCCTACATGTTCAAAATGCGCACATGTGGTGCAACAAGAAAAGCAACTCTTGGTGGTGTCACACACATGTGCGGTCTCAAAACACCTCAACAAACAGCATGGCACAGCTGGTGATGGTCTTCGAATATCGCTCAAATGCTGGAGGCCATCGCTTCTAGGTTCGAGGCCAGCGCTAGTAGGTCGGAGGCCATTGCTATTTTATTAGGTTCCTTCAAGTCTTTTTAATTGAAACTGATTCATTTCTGAGAACGAAACCTCTGACCGATCGGTGCCTCTGAGCGGCGCTCGTTCCCGTGCTGGCGCTCGATCGAGTGGTCCTTGTATGCCCCACGGTGGGGGTTATCAGATGTGAATTGAACAGTTTACATATGTTTACACTTCACCATGCTTCTCATAGATTCGGGATACCGTCCAATAGACTTAAGATTTGTCTTCACCAAGCGCATAGTCGTGAAAACTCTATATTGATCTTCACTGGGCCAAAAACTGTGCCACCACAAAAACTCTGCCTTATCCGATGGACAGTATAAATAATGGAAAAGGAGATTCTCATGGTTTCCAGGTGCAGAACATGTTCTACCAACATTTCTCGATGTTCCAACAATCTCGGCTCATCCAAATTAACATTCCACCATCCTAAGTGCCAGGCTCTCAAATGTCCGTCTGCAAACCTGGCAGGTTATGAGGTCTACCACTGCGAAATCACTTTAGCGTTTGGAAGCACAGCGCCAGTTGCCGGCACTGAAGAAAACAGTTGTTCCAGTGTACTTGTTAGGTGCAAGTGCTACTATGTTAAGGAGCAACCCTGTTGATCCGCGAGCATTGCCCCAATCTGAATCGTTAAAGAAAAACATGCCTCCTTGTCATCATCATTCCTGAGGAGGAACCTGGACTGGAACAACAAACAAGGTCACCCCAACAAAAGGAACAACACAACCGTTGAGGACCCAACAATGAACTTTGAAATTTCATATTAACATTTGTATCCATGTGCGGGTGTCTACCTTGATGACGAAAAACAAAACATGTCAACACAGAAACCTAGAGACTGTGGCGCCCGGATGTTTCTGGCCACTTGTCATACCATGGTTTCAGAAGGTTAATGCAGTGATATGTTTTCAGCTTCCAGCGCACGTGCACCGTTTGGCACGTGCAAGGCATGATTCCAGTGGGTTTCTGCCTATACTCGTTTCTAGTATGCGTGGTCTCCCTGGTGTACCACCAAAAATTGAGTACATTATATGAATACATTTATAAATCAATTGAAAACTAATGCGCAAAGGATTTGCCTCCTTCCCGATGTCCTGAATCGCCAATGTTTTCGATTTCCCATATCAGACAACTTTTCTATCTTTTGTTACGTGCTGCTATTTACACAAAATTGCCAAAATCACACAACATGACCGATGCCACACGTGCACAATCTTGTGCAAATACCAGGGAGAAACAAAAGATAGAAAAGTTACATCCTGGAAAATGTTAGCCGGCTTCAATCAACTTCAAGACAAATTGGGCCAAACATGACAGATTTTGCCGCAAATACCAGCACGATACAAAAGATAGAAAAGTTCAGATTTTTCAAAATCTCATATTTCCCTGCTATTTGCACAGACATGTTCACGTGTGACCACACTGCAAAACATTCGCTGCAAGTGTATCCGGATTCCTGTATATATATATATACATATACCTTCATATACCCTCATTCTCTGTGTTTGCTGTTGGAAAGGGAGCGACCGGCGGAGGGTTGTTACCTATTTCACACACCTCACTCAACAAACAGCGTCAGCGTCCATGAGAATCATGGACACAAGATTTGTTCCCTCTTTTCCATCTTTTGTATCCCCATGCTGTTTGCACGGGACACACTCATTTGGATTGTCAGACTCAACAGAAGCAGGCCCAAATATATACATTCAACAAACCTCAGCGCCTCCCTAAAACTGGGCATACCAGCCAATTACTAAGCGGTACACACGTTTCCATCTGTTGTATCCCCATGCTGTTTGTATGGCCACACTCCAGTTTGCATTGTCAGACTCAGCAAACGCAGGCCCAGATACTTAAGTTACTTGGCAGTTTACAGTGTTTCTATCTTTTGTACCCCTATGCTGGTTTCTATGCTGTTTCTTCTTTCTGTCTTCTTCTTTCTTCTGTTTATTATTCTTTGTTGTTTCTTTCTTCTTTTTCCTTCCGTTTCTTTCTTTCCTCTTCTTTCTGTATTCTTCTTGCCTTCTTACTGTTCTATATTTGTATGGTTCCTTTCTTTTGCTGTTTCCTCTCAACCCATGCATAACTCATACCCTCAACAAACCTCAGCACCTGCCTAAAACCGGGCATACCAAGC